TGTAATTTCCTGTTTTTAAACACAGTGTAGGAGATCTGAGAAAGATTTGTAATGCAACAATTTCAGCACATATGCTGATTTTTTTTTCTCAAAGCTACAAAGGGGCAATTACAAGGAACAGGAAGTGGATTTTAGATCTGACTCTTGGATACTGGCCCGGGTAAAAACAAACAGGTCATCTGTATGTGGAGATGTTCTGTGATGGCTCACCTGATGTCCTCATCAGTGACGATGAAGGCCTTGCACAGCGGCTGAGCCGTGTTAAGCCATACTCCTGGGTTCTTCTCCACGGCCGCAGACAGCTGGCCCGTGATGGGAGCGGCACTGGTGTGCAGAGCGCTCGCAATAGCCGACAGGAGAGTCTTGTCTGTACAGCCTGGACCAACACCTGAGGGACCAACCGGGAGGTTTTAGGACATTTAAAAAAAGGAACATCAAAGCTTTAACTGCACTCAGGATTAGTTACATCTCATTAAAATAAAAAATGTGCTATACTGACATGATAAAAAATAAGAAAATGTCACTTGTGCAATTATTTTTTTATTATTATTATTATTACGCAATATGAACTGTTCATTTTCTCTGGAGAATCTATGTTTAACCTATATTACCTTGCAGTCCTTTAGGCAGTTCCATTGTTTTCACGAGCTCCTCCGCGATGTCATAAGCATTAAGACCGCTGAGTTTCTTCTCCCAAAATAGCTGTGGACAAAGAGTAATATTAGCTGCCAACAGTCTTAACAGAAAGAAAACCCCCAAAACGCTTCCAGAGCCAAAAACAACATCAACATATTTAAACTCAAGTCTGGTTCATCCAGTTTGGAGGAAGTAACAGTGTCAGATAACATGTGTTTCAGGTTTGTATGGGACGGGATGTCAACTGTAACAGGCAGCGGTTGTTCACCTGTCTGGGTTGGTCAACTGCTTTCTGTGGATCCGTCTTCACTTTGTTGTTTGGGTGGTTGGTAACCTTGGTAACAGGCTGCTTAAAGATGGAGGCGGTCTGTCTGACTGGGAGCGATGTGTTCAAGTCAGGTTTGCCCTTAAAAATAACAAACACAGAGGGAGGATGAGGACAGGATGAATTTAAAAAAAAAAAAAAAAAGGCACTAAGACAGAATATTACATGTTATTCCACAAAACTCTATTACAACCACGCAAAAGGCAGCTCATTCATTCAGCTCTGAGACGTCTATGACTATGTCAGTACTCAGGCTCTATGGGTCCATATTAAAAGTCAGTTTAGTGCAAACTGTCATAAAAAGATAAACCTACTGCTGCATAAGTCTCTCTCCAGCTCTGATGTCAGTTGAGCGATTTGTCTTATCTAACCTACAAAGATATTTATATCTATAGTTTATAGATAGGTAGTAGTCTAGATATTAATATAAGAAATAAAACATGCTGCCTTGTGCAAAGATGTCATGATGTTACTGGACACTTTTTTGTTTAAAGATGCCACCAAAGTCCCTCCTGTGTTAAACCTAAACAAGTGATTCTAGTAATCCATGTCTAAGTGAGGGTGCTTCACTTGCAGCGTTTGATAAGTTGACCATACTACAGTTGGTGTTTCAACCTGTAAAAACACAGCGTCCAGGTAGCACCATCCGTTAGCAGTCATTGCTGGTCATCATGAGCCCGTTCATCTCACCTTGTTCTGGTTGTTGTTATCATAGCGCAATCTCTGGCGGTTCTTGTTCAGCTTGCTCATCAGCATCTTCCCCGTGCGGAAATCAAAGGAGCTGAGGTCCATCTGGTTGCCAAGGTAACGGGCCAGCTGAGGCTTGCTCCGAAACTTCTTCCCAGATGGACTGGCAGGGGAAGGCAGAGACACGAGAACGCCACTATATTAATATCATCTCATACAAAGATTAAAGCAAGAAAAAAAGAGGTCAGAACAAGACGGACAGTCAAACCGAGATGAAGGCAGAGAAACAAAACACACAGGTCACACTTCAAAAACACACATACACAGCAGACAGAAAAATTACAAACATCATAACATGCAACAAGTCAAAAGCAAACAGCAGCAGAGCACATTCAAGTGGGCGATGGCACTGAAATCACATTACTTTGTGAAATGGATGCAATCTTTGATGAAGACTCTACGTAAGCCCTGTTAACAAGCTGCACACACACTGTAGTACAGAGGAGTAACTATATAGATATTAAACATACTCCAGAGCATATTGTATACACAGCCCTGACACTAACCTGTGAGAACCAGTGAACACAATGTAAACATGGCGATTACCAACACTTGACCAAATGTTTCAGAGTGGAAACATTGGAACTCCACTTGTGGGAGCAACAACAACATTTTTTTAGCCTGAGCAATGGCCAACAAAAGGAACAACTGTGGGTGGATACGTGCTAGTAACTCATGCAAATGTCTCTTACATCACACACCACAGTTAACAGCAGTAGGATTGTACAGTTAGCCTACCACAGACTATACAACCGACCCGCCTCCCCCCTCTCTTGCCTCTGCTCCTCATCTTGATCGTCTCCTCTGCTAAATGAAAACAAATCTGGCGTTGTTGATTCACTTCAATGGGGAATAAAAAAAGTATTAACTGAGAAGACACTGAGTTTTATTCATCTGCTAGTCGTGAGCTGCTGCTGCTGCTACTAGCTGCACGGTGGGACACTCTTTATCCAAACACTTTGAGAGAGGAGCTGGCCTGGTTGGCCTTGTTGCCCTACTACAAACATACCCCCCTCCCCTTTCCCACCCCCAAACTTTATACCGACCACCGTCCCCCACTTATCACACTCCTGTCTGTTTCCGCAAACTCGGTGTCTTGTGCACCTCTTTAAGTTTTGCAAGCCCTCGTTCGTTTAGTACCTAAAATAATAGACATCGCTTTTTCCAGCGGACAAACCCGACTTTCTGGTCACTTCTTCCATTTTCCAGCCCTTGGGGAGAGCAGTGCAATCCCACCTTTTCTTCTCCATTTCCCACGCGAGTAGCCTATAAATCCACTAAAAAGTTAACAAGCAGGTTGGATTTTAAGGAAATGTGTCGATTTTTTTTGGATGGCAGGCCTATCGCTTCTTACGCTTTTGTTTCGACCATATTACAACATGCGTGCTCAGTAATGGGATCTCCCTGCTAACAACATCTCGTCTCTTTGTCGTCGCGCAGATCGCTCCGCCGCGTCTCAGCCACATCACTACCTGCCAGTCTCGCCGGGGCACGAAGGCTACATCCGCAAGGATAACATAGGACATCGCGGCGAGGACGCAGCCGGGACGGGACCGGAAGTTACACCGTTCTGACTTCAGATTAAAAGCACACATTTGTCATGTTGTCAAACGTGCGCTATCGCTCAACTCAATTTTATGTCAAGTTTAAAAAACAAAAAAGGCCCGACATAAAACGAGTACACTGAATATTAGAAATGTTTATGTTAAAAGTCATTATCAGATTATTTCACTATTCTACGTTCTGTCGTTTATTATAAAGTTGGTTTGAACTATATTCTATTATTGTTCTTCAGTCTATCCTATAATTGTTTTCATGTCTTCTTAGGCCTCCCTTACAAATTAGATCTCAATCTCAGCGGGACTTTAAATATGTTACAATTATTAGAATTTTAAAAAATACAATAATTATATACAGTAATTCAAGTAAATTTACAATTAAACTATTTTTTAAAATATTCTTTAAGTCGTCAATTTCCAAATGATGAACGCGCAATCAAGTACATATTTAATACGTATAATATAAAAAAATGAAATAATATTAACTTATTATTAACTAAGATCCACTTATATAGAGCATCCAACTGCACGTCTTTAAATACAGTTTTCATTTTGTTTTTTACCGAATGATTATCCCAAAACCTCAGAGGTCAGGTGAAAAATGATTTCCATTGAGAAAACACCAAACTTTAGACCAAGAACCACCGACAGTATATATAATCCAAGAAGCCTAAAAACACGGTTAAGTAATTGAAGCCTTTTGTTTTGAAACGTGATAGCGGAAGTGTTATTTTCCGTCCTGTGTACCTTGACGTCGGTGACCACCAGCGCTACGTTAACCTATGGGAAATATAAATCAGACTGCAGCTTCAAATAGACCGTACATAGGAATCACGCAGATGCATGACAACAACCACGGACGCCACTGAATAATTAAAACACACGAGATGTGCTCAAATATCGACACTTACTCCGAAGCAGTGACACAAAATGTGAAAGTTTTTACGTAAACTAAGCTACATGAAACCGGAGAGCCGTTTCACCACCACAATGCCCACCGTTGTCATTCAGACTTGGACCCGGCTTTTATGAATGAACAAAGTAGATCTTATTGATTAAACCGCGGGCACCATTTTAACAGCATGTCATGCATCCACGGAGGCTTTGTGTATGTATCGATGCAGGAAAAAAAAATATGATCTGCTTTGTACGATTAAAAGCGACTGTGTAGTCGACGCAGTACGCTACGCCGACTCCATGCCTTATTCAACATTAGCTGTAAATATCAGCGAGAATAAACCATGTTACAATAATGCTTTCTTTTCTTTAAAAATACACCGACATCCTAGCTGGAAACCGCAGCGTTGCTATTTGCAAAATGCGAGAGACCACCGAGTGCATCTGTCTAACCGATGATAAACACACTTTCCAAATATATTATGAAAACGACACATCGCGAGTTAAACGCTACAGTTACAATTAACACCCTCCTCGGTGGTTTCACTGCCCTTTAAATGATGTACTTACTCGTTTTTATCCATCTTGGAGACACTATCTCGTTTTCTCCCTCTCGCTATGTTAAATCCCTTCTCCCCTCTCCTCTTTCAGTCCCCTCCCCCTTCGATGGGAGAAATGAAAGACATTATCCACGCAAATTTCGCAGTCTGGTTGATAAAATGAGTTTAGTATCTGGCCTAACCTGGCGTATTCTCAGTGTGCAATTAGACCCCTAATACATGGGGGCATATGAGGGATTCATCATGCATTAGGAAATATATTATCAGACTTTTACATATGGTTCATATACATATTTATTTCACACTTTTACAGTAAATTACAGAAAATATAAGTTCTACAAACTGCTCCAGTATATCCAGTTCTTCAAACATTATTGACAACATAATGGATTTTAACAAACCTCTCACCATTTTAACAACATTTTAATAGCTGGACTCTTGCAGAAAAAATGGGACCCATTGGGGTAAAGCAAAGATTTATTCACAAATCAAATAATACAGAATTTATACAGAGTGCTTCCCGTTGTCCGAACTCCTAACAAGCCCTCAGTGACTGATTGTTGAGCCAGGGCATCCCCCTTTAAGCTTGCGTTGTGTAAGCAATGCACCCATGAGCCAATTCCCAAGCTCTGGTCCTGTAGGCAGACACACACCCCATTCATTAGCAGAATGTACAAAAAACACGTGTGTTTAAATTTGTGACAAGCACATCCTTCCTGACTCTGAGTTTAAATGTCTGACAAGACTGCATTCAAGTAGAGTGGGAGTGGCAGAGGTTTGTGTGTAAACTTTAATAGGGCTTGAACATATCAATATAATGTCTGTAATGTGATATCACATTTGATATCATGGGAATTGTTTGACATTTAGGTTGAAATATAAGTAGTATATGATATTATAGTTGGCTAATACCAAAAAGTATTGCCACATTATTGATTAATGAGTAAATAATATGATGTACCACTAAAACACAAAAATACATCTGAACAACTGAAACTGATATAACTGAATGAATGTGTTGAATGCATCGTTTCTCTAAACCTTTACTGTCATAAACTGACCCCATTTCTATTTTTATACTAGTCTGACCTCCTTGCAGAGCTTTAGATTAGACAGAAGCATAACACCTTTATGCCTGTACAGTTATCATCTAACAAGCTTACAAGAGCAGCTTGATCTCTGTGGCCATTATTCATACAGCCTACAGTGTGCTTCGGTTCGTGAGCATTGCAGATGTTTAACAAAAAGACCAAAGCAAGGTGACGGTAACTTTAACCAGTACGCAGACTGTTTATTTGAATGTTCAGTTCCAACACCTGGCATGGCCAACACCTGTCTGTATCTTATCAGGAGTACATGGGTGGGGCTAAAGCTAATGAGCAATCCAACTGAACACTGCAAACACAGCGTGTGAATGAAAGCTCAGTTACACAAGTGTCGGTTATAATAACAATACACTCACAATTGAGTTGTGTGGGACTTTACTCATCCTTGGTGAACTTCCCTCTAATGTATGGCACATAGTCAAGAAATAATCGCCAGTCTGTGAAGTGAACGAGTGCCACTCCGCCAACTGTTCCCCAGGCGACCATATTTGGTACCCTAGATGGGAGAAGCCAATGGGATTCATAAATGAGACATTTGACCACACAACCAAACGTAAAACACATATCAAGACCAACTTGGGTAATTACACTCCTTCGTTCAGGTGGCATGAGGATCTTACGAGAGAAACCTTACTCTGGTAGGCACACTTCCTGAAGCCTGAGTACAATCTTAACATACAGAGTAAAGGTGGTTGTAACTCATTTGCCCATATTTTTTAGTTTAGTTAAATTTTTATTTAATTTAGTTTTTTTTTTTTTTTTTAGTTTAAATGTTCAGTTTTAGTTTGGCTTTTATTAGTTTGAGTTATTATAACATGGGGGCGTCAGGGGAAAGATTGAACAAGTTCACAATAGGTAATAATGTAGACATAACATTTCAGTTAGTTTTTATTTTTATTTCTGTTAACTAAAATGTTCTCTTCACACAGAGTTTTAGTTTGTAAAGTAAAGTGTTGTAAGTCTAATTAACTATAATAACTTTGCTGATGACAAGAATGAAACAAAGTTAGCTTGGGCACTGGTGTAAGTTGTGTATAGGCAAAAGTGAATTAGTGATTAAACAAAGGGTCATTTATAAGCTAATCAACGCATTGATAGATTAATAATAATAATATAATAATCTTTACAAATTACCGTCTGAGTTTTCCTATGTTTGCACTTTACAAGGTCAGTTATTGTGCTGTGCATTCAAGATGTGTATAAACAAACAGCTGTCAAGTATAATTGACTTAAACTCTAAACATTGCCTAAACACAATCATCATGTGATGAACACAAATACAAACAAAAACATACACATCTTCAGGTCATTGACACATGTATTGACTACTAATAATAGTAAATATGAGACTGATATACATGATATAATTATGCACAATCAGATTATGAGTGTTGTCAGAATCTAAATATATGCTTCACTATATAGCAAAACAATGTAAACAGTATTGTACTGAGATACTGAACTAATTAATGTTATAACAGTTCTGATATGAATTAAAGCTGACACATTTAAAACAACAATAGAAGTGTTTACAGAGCCAATGTGACCACTGTGTCTCACCTCCTCCACTAACAGAGCTGTTCAGTTATAAAGCTGAATTAGTATTCAGAAGATAATGCTAACTAGCCCAGCGAGCTAAAGTCAGTGGGAAATAAACAAGCATGCTAAGCTAACGTTAGCCAGCATAGACGGGTCACACAGAAGGACAAAATTATGAAGGTGACAGAAGTCCTGGCAAATGACTGCCCGCGCTTTACTGCTGCTCGGTTGTTCATTTAACTTACCACGCCCTTATAATAGCGATGTATTTGCCGCCGATGACTTTATTGAGTGTTTTCGGGACCATCCTGACCTTGTTAGTTGTAGTTCTTCACTCACTGCAATGTTTCTCCGTGATGGCTGTAAAGGACCCTTGGCTGCCCCTTTCTAATGCCTGTTAAAAACTATGAACGGGCTCTGTAAAACTTATAGCTCAGGGTCGTTTCGGGCAACAACTTCAAAAGGTCTGTTTACAACACAGCTGTTTTATTTAAGAAATCTGTTTCTAGCAACTATTCAGCTGTAACTAATACTGCAGCCCTGCGCGTGTTGACTATGAAATCAATGAGATTAAATGGTATGTCTTAAAATGAATGTGGTGCCTTGTTGCATAATCAGAAAGAAAAGAGGGAAAAAAAAAAAAAGTCTCACGCGTTTGTTCCCTATCCGTCTATTGGCAATGGAAAACGTGAACAAATTCATTTTCCAACTACAGTAAACCCTTTATTACAATGTTTTCCTTTATTTTCCTTTTTATGTATACAATATTCAAAAGCCAGACATTGGAAAAGGTATAATCTGTTATTAAAAATGGCACATTTATTGCTACATTACTGTTATATACAGGACAGTTCTTAACTATATATATTTATATATATATATATATATATATATTTTTATTTATTTTTTTTTTTTTTTAAGGGGCACT